AGTTACCAAAGACAGTACAAGAAATTACACAGCGACCCCATTGATTTCAACAGAAAAAACTTGTTAAAAGCTGATACCCAGGCATACTGCGAGTGCGCAGACTCAAACTGAGCCTGTCACGTGAGCAACCTGTATGTCTTCTTGTAACTGTGCCGAGTGAAATCTGAATAATTTCCTTCCGAATCTCAAAGAGACGGAGAGAGTGAGTATTAGCGGTCCATGAGCTAGCAGCAGGATCAACTTTATTAATCTCTATGGGCTTCTACCTTGACGTTATGCCTCAACGTCCCCCCGATAGCCTGCGAGCTTCTCCTCCTGTCTATTAGGGCTGTATTCAACCAAAGAAATCCTTAGTCGACCAAAGTCGAGTCCTGCGCAACGATTAGTCGACTTAAAAAAAATAAAAAAATAAAAAAGTGATGTTTTGATTAAACATTTTTTAAACAATTGTCATTGAGCATTTATAAAACAACAACGAAAAACATCACAAATAAATAAAACTATAATAATAATACAATTCTTTGAAAATTAAGTGATTTTTTAACTGCAAAAAGTGAAGAGCTCTGTCCTAGGTCCATAGTAACAGTCACAATCGCGCACCTGACCACACCACACGCTGCAAAAAAATATAACTGCTAGCTGCCACATAATGAAAAATCCCAACAAAAGCTCTCGTTTATACAGGCTTTATATTCTTCTTTACTTTCAAAGCTATGGGTTAACTTTCGTCCTGACGATCAAGGCGTTTTAAACAACACACAAAAAACCCAAATAAATAAGGCTGTAGGACCGCGTATAGGTTTATTTTCGTTTTGTTGCATTATTTAGGCTATTTTCAAATGCGTCAAGTGTACAAATAAAAACGAAAACATTAAGAAAACACAATCTATTGAGTCAGCATGATATAGCCGTTAAAAGGCTGCTCACGTCTTTTGCGCGCTCAAGTTCGATTTCAAATGTAGGCGCGCGACTTGCGCGCTCACAGTGGAGCAACGCGATCGCCTCCCTCCACAGTCTTGTCGTCTTTGTTTTCAAATGCAGCCAGACAAAAGATTTAGATTTCCTGGACATTTTGTCGACTAAAGCCAAAACAAGCAGCGTTCTAACTGAATGAATACAGCATCCCTTAACGAGCGCGAGCAGCAGCGCAGCCAGCCACAGGTGCGGTTCCCGAGTGTATTATGTGTGTGTGCTAAACTGTGGCGCAGTTACAAAAATACAGTAGCCTAAATTAAAGCATTTTAAAGTTGGGGACAAAACATAGGCTAATTATATTTAGAATACAGTAATAAATAACTGCTTATAAAGGAATAAATATCAAGAAGTAAATCATTGAAAATTTCTTTCTTTGGTAAAAAAAAATAAAAAAAATGCAACTGGTCGACCAATAAGAATGTCAGTCGACCAAGACGGCATCGACCGATTAGTCGACTAAACGACTAAAGTTGACAGCCCTACTGTCTATACGGCCATTTCTCTACTGTGCGACAGAGAATCGATTCGTTATGACGCAATCGTTAGCCTATTTTTAAAAAAACTGCTTCTACGGGGCCAGAACGCAAGATACGAGGAAATACACTGATTTCGCGCAGCCGCCGTTTTGAAATCGAAAGCAAGGCACCGGGAGGTAAACCTACAGCATTTACTCTTTTATGAATTAGCAATTAATAAACTACTAATGAATGATAAACTACTTCTTCACTGCTGATTCCTGGTGGTTTAGAGGAGAGTTACTCCGAGTCGCCCCCTGTCGTTTCACAGAATAGCACAACCGCGAGCGCGTCAAGTATAAACGCATCGTCCGTTTGGAGAGGTGCAGACGCGTCGAGTATACACAAGGCTTAACTAAATTTAGAAAAGTGAAATCATAATAAACCACCCCTTTAAGTGAAAAGAAAGCGTGCATTCATAAGCAATTCCAGCACCGCGTATATTGATAGCAGCTCTCTGTAATGTCCACGAATAACAGGCCTATACACAGAGTACGCGTATTGCAAATTCAAAAGCAAAAGCAAGCACCTGTTCAAAATAACCCCCTCCCCCTGGTGTTATCGGTTAATACTGGTGGTGTCACAAGTTTATATGCAGGAGTGATTTCTTCACTGTGACATCCCCATTCGCTAGTCCATGTTCGGCTACGTCTCAGAACAATAAAGAGAATGAAGCATTAAAGAGAAAAGCAATGAAATCCAGCACAATAGCCGCCTAAATGTATTTTTTCTCAATGACTGTGTTTTCATAACTAAGCCAAATTTAAACTAAATTTTTTATTAATTGTGCAGACCTAGAATAGCAGTTTGGTGACCACAGCTGTCAAGATCCTAGATCTAACTTCATAAAACTTGTGCAGTACATTCTTGGCTTTCTGAAGCTATACAATAGCTTTGCTCAAGCTATTTGAGCTATTTGAGCTAAAGTTTCCCTCTGTGATTAGATTAAATGTGGCGTCAACAAGTTTGACAGCTATGGTCATAGCGAACACAGAGTTAGCATTCTCCTGATGCCCTCGTCACATTAATACATCTATATGGTCAGACAGTGTCAAAATCCCTGCAGTCGTTTATCAGATAAAGGAAAGGTTGCCTCTCTTAACTGGTAATGTCATAATGAAGCGATTTACACGAGTCAAAACGATACCAGACAACATCAGACGTGTTCTTTCCAGCTTGTTTGTGCAAAACAGCATGACTGTTCTTCACTGGAAGCCTCCTGAATTGATCAAGATCTCTACTGTTAAAACTGTTCACATGACAGAAGGTTCCTCCTTCCTGGTGCAGGTATCCAGTTTGATTCTCTAAAGGTGACATTCTCACACACTCATCAAGTTCCCATCTGCTAGGCTAGATAAATGCATGCGTCACTAAACTTCAATGGCATTTCAGAATAGCCTATGTGAGACAGAAATATGCTGTGCATGTCGGATATGGATGCTTATTATGTACATTAAAAGCAAAATGGTAAGATAAAGTTAATCAAATCATAGCAAGGTCATGATCTCTAATAAATGACAGTCATGCTACAACTCCCAGAAATGTTAGAAACTGTACTACAAAAATAGGCTAGTAGCATTAAACAGGCCTAACTTAACATGTTGTTAAAAATGTGCAATTATGAGTGGCTATTTATCTTAGATATTTTAGCCAAAGTAATGTGACTTTGTGATAAGTCACAAAGTAATGTGACTAATGTGAGGAATAAAGCACATTATTAAGATAACACAACAATGAGAAAGGCCAAGTGAACGAGGAACAATCAATATTTGCAATCAAGGCTGAAGAAGAAAAAAAGAGAACTGATAAAGAGGAATAATTCAAACAAAAAGTGATTTATAATGGATATTCTAGAGAAGTAATTGCTGTTGCTTACTCTATAACTACATGGTAGGAGAACCTATTAAAATATTTATTGAACATATCATTATTGATCATTAAAATGCATCCTACAGTAGGTTAAAAATACGTGCCTGAATGCATTTAGCATTAGCAACACTTTACACCACTATTCACTACTATAGTATAGCCTATTAAAAAAGCAAGATGTGGTTCATAAAAGTATTATACAAAATAAAAAATTGACTTGGTCTAGAATATCAAATACGTAACAATTGCTCCCCCCATGAACATGAATATGCCACCTCACCACAAAGGTAAACAATGACAAAACAAATGTCACCCCAAAAATGCAAGACAATCACATCCTTGAAAACGCACTAAGAATTCAATACACAGCAAGCAGTTACAGCACATTTGAAAGGCTTGCAACCAGATACAAAAGCAAGCGCAATATAAACAAATACGCATCATTCAGACACTATGTGATATGCATTTAGAGATGTTTTAACATGCAAATGGTTGCTAAACTCCACATAAGCATATCGAATATCGCGAATATACAAACCGATAGATCCACATTGACAAAGAATGGGGTTGAAGGGGAAGCGCAGACTCGGCGATCAATATTCAGGCTGAGCTCTGAGACGATGCTGTTTGAAAGTGGTCTATTAAATGGCAGTGACTACGCTGATAGGTGAACTGTATTGTCCTAAGGCCAGGTGACTATCATGAATGACGCTTTAAATAGGTATGGAGAAGAGTACACGAGCTGCTGGCCAGTCCAGCGTGTGTTACGCAATGTCAACACTGTGAGAAGAGGAATGCGGCGCGCGCGGCGCTGAATGCGGATCACAACAAGCCAGGGAATACCCAGCTCGATAAACCAGCACTTTAATTAACTGATTACTTGTCATAACAGAGGCATCATTTATATAATGAGGAAGTAGCGAAGCAGCAAATTATACTACAAGCCCCTAAAAGGCTTGTTTTATTTAGTTATCAGAGCCTGCTGTTGGAAACAGTGCAGTGAAACTGGGAGGGAGTGTCATTGCAATAATATGCGACACTGGACATTGTCTTGTAAACAATGTGGTGAACTGATACTTGAAAAAATAAGTAAAAATCAGAATACTAATTCAAAAAAATTATATTTCATGGGAATAAAAACATCATGATTTTCCTCATCTAACGTATTGGTTTAATCCTTAATCCTTCAAAGAAGGACACAAGTTTGCCAAGTTTAAATGTTAGTTAGCTAAACACAAATTGAGCAGCCCATTCGACATTGAGTTTAATGAATGCCAAAGTAGTTTCATCAAAATAAATCAAGTTTGTTAAACCTGCATGCTGGCACAAATTAAGCTGCCGTTCCCCTAACCAGCAACAAAACTCTAGCGCTAACATTAGTGACACTGGCTATTTCAGAGAAAAGGGTAACGTTATATTTTCAGTTTGGCTGTTTTACATGATTAAACAACGTGAAAAAGTTGTAGACCAGAACCCAACTTAGCCATATTAGCCACATACTAGCTGAGCAGTTCGTGAACGTTAACTTAACCAACTTCATACGACGACAAAATAACGACACAACCGCGACGAGACATCTGTAAGGGCCTGACAAGAATAGATAAACGGTTCGTTTGAGGGTGTAACGTTAGTTGAACTCACCCGTCGAACAGGCCAGGTTTGATTGGACTCCAGGAGAAATCCTCAGCGTGCTAATGTGGCTAACTTAGCCCACACCAGCAATCCTGGGAGGAACAGTTAGTGAGAAATCAGGAGAAACGTGTAAACAAAATCTCCCCTTGTTTATTCCTTTTGGACCTTCGACAGCTCGTATAGTTGAAAAGAGTCGGTTTATTTACAGTATCCAGGCCGTCCGGGCTGACAGTGTCGAAGGTGATGACTCACAGGGAATATAAACTAACGTTAAATCAGCTGTGGCCAGTTTACAGCTAACTCTCCACTCCCAGTCAGTCACTTCCAAAAAATGGCGGCGGGTAGTGTTCACCTCCTTCCCTACGTGGAAAACACGGGAGAGATGCTGTGGGTAGCTCTTTAAACAGCACCACGGGCACTCTCTGTATCCACCCAAGATATGACAGCACTTCAATGTCGCCTCGGCCGTAAAAGTTATTCATGCGTGGCCCGTCTGTCTTGTTGTGGCCGGGCAGTGATTTTCATCTCTCTCTCTCTCTCTCTCTCTCTCTCTCTCTCTCTCTCTCTCTCTCTCTCTCTCTCTCTCTCTCTCTCTCTCTCTCTCTCTGAAACGGATCTTTTCAATGATTCGGTTGAACCGGTTTACAGTACGAAACTGGCTGAATCGGTCAAAACCGGCCTCAAGTCATTTACCAATTCATAGAGAGATGATGGACCAAAAAAAATTAGCCTATTTAAAACGTTGTACATTTGTTACCTGTAGTTGTAAATAAGATACAATTTAAACTTATAGTTTACAAAATTATTTGTGAATTTAAATTTGGCTTGCAAATTTCAATGGACCCTTTTCACGGAATATGATGATGTGCAAATCTAGTAAAGTCAAATTTCTCTCTTCTGACTGCAGTAATCAATCTCTCTCTATATATATTTTTTTTTCTACAGGCGGCTTTATTGATATGTTTTAGAGTAGGCTATGTTACGCTAGGATCTGAATTGCTCGAAAGAACCGATCCGTGTGGGAATGAGTCAGAGCATTTACAACAGCCTGGGCGGGGTCAAAACAAGTACCAAGCTGTGAGGTGTTTTCTTCGGTAGTTAGGCCTAATGAAATAAAAGATTTATTACTGAATCTTCATTGTCATGAAAGCACAGAAGGCTTAGCCAAAAAGCTCTGAGCCATTAACAAACCATGTTTCTAAATCACCCATTTTATAACTTTAATGCTCCAAGCCCATTAGACATTTACCCATAAATGTTTGGTTCAGTGTTTTTATCCTTGGTGAGAGAGAGTGAACGCCAGTGCAGTTGTAGTGTGCTGAGCTTCTTAGCTGATTAACATGTAACTTTAGGCTTGGTTTCCACATATAGCTCTAAGCCACCTGCCGGTCATCAAATTCATACGTTCCCCCACCGCAGATAATAACCCGCTCAAAGAACCAAACACGAAAAGCATTGCTTTTCTGTTTCCTTCTGCTTTACTGTACACTAATATGACAAGTATCTAGGCTATACGTGAAAAAAACATGCCCAGACTGTCTCATAAGTGCAAAGACAGGCAAAACTGGTTTTGGTTAACTCTATCTGTTGTGATTGACACGGGTTGGCACACATCCTTGTCTTTATTGTTGACATGCATTTTTGTGCATGTTAAAGCAGCCTGTATACATTATGCATATACATATATATATATATATATTTGGCATATTCAACAAGGTGCTAGAGATTTTGGTCCATATTGACATGATAGCATCACAGATTTGTCTGATGTGAATCTCTCATTGATTCCACCATCTCAAAGGTGCTCTATTGGGTTGAGATCTGGTGACTGTGGAATTTGAGTCTGTGGAAATAGCCAAGATGGGTATAGACCATTTCACAAGATGTAAACAACACTGGTCCAGAAACACTTCCTGTTTCAGTTTGTAACTGTTTTCTTTATTTCACATGTAAAGAAAACATCTTAAAGATCTTTGTTTAACTTTTTGATTCAGTTTTAAATGTTCTGTTGGTTGTATTTTATCCCAGCTTTTATGTAGTGTTAAAAAACTGAAACAGGAAGTGCTTCTGGACCAGTGTTGTTTACATCTTGTGAAATGGTCTATACACTGTGTCATGAATGGATGGACATGGTCAGCAACAATACTTAGGTAGGCTGTGGTGTTTAAACGATGCTCAATTGTTACAAAAAGGCCCAAAGTGTGCCAAAAACAAACATATCCCCACACCATTACACCATGCACAAGTACCAGCCTGAACCGTTGATACGAGGCAGGATGTATCCATGCTTTTATATTGTTTATGCCAAATTCTGACCCCCATCTGAATGTTGCAGAAGAACAGGCAACAATTCCAGTCCTCTATAGTCCAAATTTGGTGAGCCCGTGTGAATTGTAGCCTGTGTCCTGCTGTTCTCATCTGACAGGAGTGACACCGGTGTGTGTTCCGCTGCTGTAGTCCATCTACTTCAAGGTTCGACATGTTGTGTGTTCAGAGATGCTCTTTTTTGTCTGTTTTGTAATTGTAATCATAATACCTCAGCCCTAAGCTTGTAAAAAGAACAGTTTAGAAGAGTTTCCACAGTATTTCATGTATTTCAAACTCTAATATTGTGTGTGTTACAAAGGCACACTTTTATGCAAACAAAAGCACGATTGGTTTGCGCAGTCGGCAGATCAATAGAGAATCTGAGTCTTATCAATCCCACCTGTTTAAAAACACCTCCACTGGCTATCATGTAATAATTCCAGCTGACTCTTATTCTATCATCTGTATCTGTTCAGTGAGGATTAATGGTTGCTGACATTGCAGATAACAGTATATCAAGTTCTATTGACTGCCTAGCTATGACCTCTTATGTAACAGCCTAAATTGATATAGAGGATGTCTTCGGATTAATGTAATAGGCTTATTACATTATTCATTATTTTAAGCTTATGTAGCTAATTTTTCATGTCAGATTTAAGCATGTTTTCAAATTACAGTTGTTTAACATTAAATTTGCTGCATTTGACTTTGCTACAAATACGGCGTATTTAATTTATGCATTTGGCATATTTTTATCCAAAGAGACATGCTTTGCACACAGTACGGTCAGTTCTTGCTTTCCTTGGGAATCAAATCCACAACTTGGCATATGGTTTAGCCTTCAAGCTACAATATGGCTCTTTATTTCCTTTCTGTAACTCCTTGTTCACTAATAATTAGTTTATAGAACTAAATTTATATAATTTAGGTCTGGTTTCTACACTCTGTTGTGTTCTCATTTGTTAACATATTTAGTCTTCATTTTCATGCAAATTTTATCATTGATATTTTTTATTTCCTTCAATGTAATATATTTCATGGTTAATTTTAAACCATTATATAATTCGAGTTGCTTTTTACTTTTTGGCTATTTATGGATTTTGTCCAGCCTTGATTTGTAATTATCATACAGTTTAAATGTATTAACTGAGTGCCAACCAGGGGCGTTTCTAGGTTTTAAAAACATCAGGGGCTGTGGTGGGTAATAAGATACCATGATTCGATAAGAGAATAATGTAATGCAGGCCTATATGTGGGGGCAGACCAAACATCCCACTATAACCACACCAGCCCACATTACCACACAGTCACACACATGCAAAGGCGAGGTAGTTAGGGGGTTCGTGCGCATCCCCCGAGAAAATTTGTATTTCTCAAACCTACATTTGTGCATTTTAAGGTGTTTGAAGATCATAAAAATGGTGTAACAATAGCTTTAAAAGCATGTCAGTGGGCAGTAGCATAAAATAGCCTATTACAGATTCTTAAATATGAGAATGAGGATGTTGAAATGAATGATCCACGCTTGGATGCAAATTCAGAATGTTTCTGCACAATCACATATTCCAAATAGGAATGGCCTTAATGAGAAATATTTTAAGGATTATTTTCCATAGATGTTATTTCAATCAAACACCAGTGCAATCTTTTTGTGTCCAGAGGAAAAGGAGCAATTTATATATTAGCATTAAAGATTGGTTTCAGCAACTAGTTTCTTTCTAAGGTTAGCTAATCAATATTTTTGGCACTAATTTGTTAAGTTAAAGTTCATTTATGCACTCATAAAGACAGTCACTTGTCGCCACCTACTGGCTTAATAATGCAAGTTGGGCAAACACAGACAAGCGGAGTGAGACAAACGGTGAAAAGGCTGATAATGGTGAAATATTCGAACACATTCGAGGACCATACAAATATATATATATGTTCTAAATATATATTTATTCTTATAAATTGAGCTTATAGTTTATGTAATTAGCAAATAACATCTGTGTTAAAGGAATATATTGTAATAATGTTAAAAGGAGTAAAGATAGAGCAAGTCTCAAATTTTAGGTACAATCATTGTAATTTAACATTAAACACAATTACACACTATCAAGTTTTCCCCTTTTCTAAATTTCTCAAAAAATAAAATACCAAAATATTTTAACTTTTATTCTCTCTTAATGCAACCATATTCAAAGCATGCTGGTTAATGCAACCCAGTTTCAGTTAATGCAACGCAAATCAATCATGTTATCCAACATAGGGATATATATGTGCCTTGTAACAGTGAAACAATGTAAGCTCCACTCTATAACAGTCTGTTCATCACCATGATTTTGCCAACCCAGGTGAAAAGGAAATATATTTAAATTGTACTTATTTTGATATACTTAATGTATTTTAAGTGTACCGTATTAAATATGTATTAAATGTGCTAAATTGAAACAACTTCAAGTATATTAAGTGTACTTTAATATGTATTTAAGTTCAATTTTAAGGTAATAGTAATATATTTTATTATACTAAATTGTGCTAAAATGGAACCATTTTAAGTACATTTAATGTAATATAATAGCACTTATTTAAAGTGTATTTTAATACACTTTAAATAGAGTTTAGAAATACAGTATTAGTATATTTTTAGCTTCACATTAATGCGTTCTGAGTATATTTTAAATATAATTTCAGCTTATTAATAATGTATTAGTAGAACACTATTGGACCCACTATTAACATATTAAAAATATATTTTTCCAAAAACCATTTAATATAAAAATAATATATTTTAATGTATTAAAAATACATTTAAACATTATAATTCAACAAAACCCAATAAAAAAAATATTTCTACACACAAACACTCTTTGAAAGATAAACTTTAATGCACTACATCAGTAAAGCATTATGAAAACTAAACAAAATACATTAACATAAAATGCATTGATTTGCAGAGGTATTAAACAGAACAAAAATAAATAAATAAATAAACTAACTGAAAGGAGTAGTTCACTTTTGAAAAAACTTTTGGTGATAATTTACTCACCCCCATGTCTTCCAAGATGTCCATGTCTTTCTTTCTTCAGTCGAAAAGAAATTAAGGTTTTTGATGAAAACATTCCAGGATTTTCTCCATATAATCACTGGGAACCAAACGGTTCAGGGTCCAATGGCTAACAGTCAATTTGTCGTGAAAGCATGAGAATTGGCTCAATTGCGAGAGTCTTGTGCTGAATGCTTGAGAGTTGGCAGCCCTGACAAATCTTTTTTCGAGTCAATTCATTCATTTCGTTCATTGAATGAACCTAATGACTCGGAAAAAGATTTGTTAATTTTGATGAACGAGTTCAAATAGGAAAATCATGAACATGCATAACAGAACAGAGCAAGGCGACCATTTGAGCTTATAAAACTTAAACTTGTGGGTTTTTTTTTTTTAAATGACAGATCGTTTCGCTTGATAAGACTTATTCATCGTCTGGAATCGTTTAAAGCCCTTTGAACAGTTTGCACAGAAACTGTCTTTTGGACCTTGAACCGTTTGGTCCCCAATGAAGTCCATTATATGGAGAAAATCCTGAAATGTTTTCATCAAAAACCTTAATTTCTTTTCAACTGAAGAAAGAATGACATGGATATCTTGGCATGGGGGTGAGTAAGCTATCAGCTAAAGGTTTTTTTTTTTTTTTTTTTTTTTTTAAAGTGAACTAATCCTTTAAGTCAAACAAAGTGAAATACAATAGCAAAAAGTAAAGTGGCCAAATCTTGAGTAAAAAGAGAAGTTCGTGACTTTTTCAGTCTGCCATAGACTCTTTTGGGGACATCAGAAACACAGAGGGAAATCTGGCAAGAATCAAAAAAAACAAGCATTAGTATAAACTTGTTCATTTATAATTCTAATAAAAAGCTGTCACTTTGTTACTTAATTCAGAACACTTAATGCACAAAAAGTCAGATATAATTATTATAACAAATAGGATTTTTCTTTATCATAAATAATTTTCTAACCATGTCTGAGGTTTCAGGAAGACACAGCTCAGATGATCTTGGGCTTGAGCTGAATGAACCTCGTTTCATGGACTCCAGGGCCTCTTTGAGAGATTCTAATATCCCTGGAAGAAAAAATAAGAAAAAATAAAGTCGCATGTTATACAAAGTTAGGGCAGAAAAAACACTAGTTTGTGTTCTTCATATATAATTTGTATTTCGTTTAAATGGTGAAACATATTTAATGAACCATTACTGTAACTTCCACCCTATTATTAAAGTAATTATTCATTATTAATAAAGACAGAACTTTCTATTGAAAGTTACAAGTTGGTGACAGCTGATAACGCCTTGATTAAATGTAAAAAAGCTGAATACCACTCATAAAATCATATAAATCAGTCCCTCGAGAAAAACACGATTATGTGATTGCATAATTCAATGCATAATCAGGCAAAATACATATTCATTTTTCAAATACGTGTTAATATATAATAGGTCACTTAGTTACTTAGCTGCTACATGACACACTGTTGCCTTTTTTTGTTGTTTTTCACCAACAAAAAGTTACAAATCAAGAGGATCAACTACTACTTACTCGACTTGACCTCATCTACTCACGGTTAGGTTTAATAAAAAAAATGTCTTTGCAATGTGCAAATTCCTTGGCTAGGCTAAATATTAAATATAAAATCGCTCATTTCATTATTTAACATCATTTTAATTTCTCAGTGCAAGATATTTAATAATTGGTTTTATGAAAGCTTATAGTTGGTGATTACAACTTAATTTATTTATCGAATTGACATGAAAACTGACAGCCTACTAATAATTAATTAGATTTTACTATGAATTAAATATCACAGATGTGAAAGTTTTATTAGAGCTTAAAATATATTATAATATTTAAAACACAAGAAGTTACTTAGGGACAATCAAGCCTGTCGTGTAATCACCATTAATAACCTTTTTTCTGCAAACACAGTGTGCAATGTTTTTATAGTTGTATTATGTCACTGTCTAGATCTATAACAATTAAGTTGATAGACGTCAATGGATTAACTCGCTTTAGTGTCAAATCAACAGAAACGCCAGTAATCCACAGAACATCGTCATCAACTTCTGAAAATATTTTCTAAACCCAAAGTGAGAATAAAGCCAATTACACTAATCACTTAAACTAATAAACTTACCACCAAGAAGTAAGATCTTTTCTGGCAGTATCTTGCTCTGTCCATGTCGTGGCGGCGTACCTCTGCGTTGTCCTCTTCACTGCTAAATTGTTCGCGGGAGCTGACGACCTGGTAATCTGCTCGTGTGTTCTCTTAATATTAGATCGGTGCTATCCACATTCACTAGGTCCGAGTCAGTGAAATAACAAAGCAAAATTTGGAAAATACATGATTTCTGTTGAAATATCCGAAGTAGGAAATCTAGGAATACCACAGACAGTCAGTATCCGCTGTCCGCGCCCCGCCCAACATGTAAGTTCAAATGGCAGTGTCTGATTGGACAATTGCCGGCAAGCTTGTTTTGAAAAGATTGGCTCTGATTGGTCCAAATGAATGCAACTAAATATTAACTAACATCCACAAAAAAAGAAACAACTCTGTTAATATAAACCTAACATGCTTTATAACAAGTTTTTTTTAAATTAATTTTGGCCAAACAAATGTAAGAGTCAAGCTTTAAGAAATTTATTTTGTTTTTCTAGTATGTACCTGATCTTTTATGTTGATGTGTGCAAGTACTGGTATTCACTTGTTTTGTGGAAAAGACTATTTGATTAATTAATGCAGAAGTATAGAAGTGCATTACTTGTTAGTCAAATTTTAGTGCTTTTCATAATTATAACAAATTAATTTAAAAAAGTTAAACCTAAAACACATAATATAAAGTGTGAAATACATATGCATTGAGTTAAGTGTTGGTAGTATTACAAAAAGTGTGTTAGTTTTTGGTATATTTCTTAAAAGCTTAACTGAGCACATATTTATAATTAAAGTGCTACTTCTAGTCTTTGTAGAAATATACAATTAATTTCGATACATGTTTAATTGCCTTCATGTTAGGAAGGGAATTAAAGGGACTTGAATTTTTAAACTTGAAGTGAACACAAAAATACTTTAATTTAGCAACAAGTATGCTTTCTGTAAATACACTAAAACTTCACTAAAACTATGTTTGTTTTTAGCATATTTCTAAAAGTGTAATTAAGTGTATATTTATTATCATTGCGTTTCTAGTAAAACATTTTTAAATATAATTAAAATATGTTTGCATTTAGCATATTTCTTAAAAATGTAATTAAATACCAATGTACTTCTAGTACACTTTTTAGAAACATATTTAAAGCATGATTGTCATTAGCATATTTATTAAAAATATAATTAAGCATACATTTATTACCAATGTACTAATAATATACTTTTTTAGAAATACATTAAAAGTATGCTTTTCTATAGTGTATTTCTTAAAAGTGTATTTAAACATATATTTATTACCAATGTACTTCTAATATACTTTTTAGAAATACATTTAAAGTATAATTATCATTAGCATATTTATTAAAAATATAATAAAGCATACATTTATTACCAATACATTACTAATATACTTTTTATAAATACATTAAAAGTATGCTTTTCTATAGTATATTTCTTAAAAATGTAATTAAATATATATTTATTACCAATGTACTTCTAGTATACTTTTTAGAAATATACTAAAATGCAATAAAATACATTTTTAGTACACTTTAAATAAGCATGTTGTAAATACAAATGTATTATAAACACACTATTTGTATTTCAAATATATTTTTAATACATTTAATACAACGTCTTTTTCACCTGGGAAGACATGTTATTTTGTTGATCCTGAACAACATTCCTGCCCAAAAATGTCGTCTTAACCATATCCCTACCTGTAAATCTAACCCTTACCCTACTCATAACTTATCCTTAAAAACAGAGGGAAATGACAGGTGAATAACACTTATGTAGAAGCACCTAACCCTGCTCGTAAGCCTAAACTTGTCATAAACTGTAAACTTGTCCCTCAAATCTGATTGGTTTGATTAGAATGTTGTTCCAGGATCAAAAAAAAAAATTGTGGATTCAGCCAAGAACATTTTGTAATTGGTGAAAACACCACCCAGTCTGTTCAACAACTGCAGGCTATTGATTTGGTTTTGAGTTTATGTTTTCATCTCAAGTCACAAATTATTAATTTATTATCTCCTAATAATGGATCTCCCCATAAAACAGAGTACAATGTAGCACAGAATACAAGCTTAAAGCAAGAATTTATCACTACATAGGCCTATTTATTTTACATTCCAGATCCGTGTATTAATCCATCCTGCAGTACAAACAACCAGTGTGTGTGTATAACCAATCCTGCAAGTGATAGCACGCGCTGCTATGTCACGTGACGAGAACCGTGAAGCTTCTTCTCGATAACAACGCTGTCACCATAGAAACGAAATAGATTGTAAAGTGTAGAATGAGTGTCGTGAACGCGCAGCGCGCCGCGGGACTCGAGCTGTTTGGAAGTTGACAGACCTAAACATGAAACTGTTTTACTACTTGCTGAAAGATGTCACGCAAAAAATCGAATATTATTCCAGGTTTTCGCCTTCACCGATGTCAATCAAGCAATTCCTGGATTTTGGTGAGTAATGAAACATTGGGATAAACGCATAGAGTTAAAGAACCGCCAATAATGCAACAAATTGTATTTTGATGTAGGGTTGTCTCGTGCTGAACTTGAATCAGCGATTCTGCTGTGTGTCTCATTTTGAATAATTTATTTTTTAATTTCGTCACATATTTTGTGTGATTAAATCAACGCGTTGACTCTATTTATATGCCGCAGCCTATCAGCCTATCGCTTGACCTTAATGTTAAGGTCAAGTGAAAGCTAAAGCTCTATTGGCACATCACTGCCATCAACTGAATAAAAATAGACCCGCCGTTACATATCACTGAGAACATCAAGGCGAAATAATACGTGCTGTATGAGAGTATTAGGTACAATATACATCTATAATAAATAAATGCATTAATATTATTACACAACTTGTATCTCAAGAGTCCAATGTTTGTTTTTTATGCATCATGTCAAGCATACACTACCAGTGAAAGGTTTGGCAAGACAGAGAAATACAACCTAGGCTATATTACCTATAGTGGATTGAAAAAAACTGGACAATTTATTACCTAATTCCCAACTTCCATTTGTGTTATATTTCACTGATTGGGTGACTTCATTATTATTCTAAAATGGGGTAAATAGTAATCATAAACTGTATATAATGTATGTGTCACATTCCTTCTCAGTGCCCATAAAGGAGTGGTTCACTTTAAAAAAAACAACTTTTGCTGATATTTACTCACCCCCATGTCATCCAAGATGTCCATGTCTTTCTTTCTTCAGTCGAAAAGAAATTAAGGTTTTTGATGAAAACATTCCAGGATTTTCTCCATATAATGGACCTCATTGGGAACCAAAACGGTTCAAGGTCCAAATGAGAGTTTCAGTGCAGCTTCAAAGGGCTTTAAACGACACCAGACGATGAATAAGGGTCTTATCTGTCATTTCAAAAATAAATAAAAAAGTTTTATAAGCACAAATGCTCGCCTTGCTCTGTTCTGTGATTCATGTTCGTGACTCTCCTGTTCGAACTCGTTCATCAAAATGAACAAATCTTTTTTCGAGTCATGACTCGAAGGGTCCTATGTAAGACCCTTATTCATCGTCTGGTGTCGTTTAAAGCCCTTTGAAGCTGCACTGAAACTCTCATGAGTAAATTTTCAGCAAAAGTTTTTTTTAAAGTGAACTACTCCTTTAATTGATTGATTATTGTAAATCATGGTCATTATCTACTTTCTTATGATATTTATAATGATTTTGCTTTCTTTTTCTAATCTTTGGCATTAAACAATGGTTGTAATACTGCTGTGTCACTCATGCATACAGACTAAACAGGCGCATCATTGGATAACAAAGAATAACTTGTTCTTGCTTCTTGTTTAACCAGGCAGGGAAAATGCATGTGAAAAAACCTCCTACATGTTTCTGCGGAAAGAACTGGCAGTGAGGTTGGCCAATACGATGAGGGAAGTTACCTTGTTGCCCCCCAATCTTCAGAGCCAGCCGTCCGTCAAACTGGTGGAGTCCTGGTGAGGAGGGCGGGGCTCAGTGAGGGCCAGGCAGGGACGGATAAACGCACGGGCACTAGTCTATAGAGGCGGCCCGGACAAGCTGGGCCTGGGAAATGAGAAATCGGAGCACTGGGGGCCTTTTGACAGGTCAAGTGGCCAGGGCACGACTGCGTCATCCGTCCCTGTGGCCAGATGTGATGATGACTGATGAGTGTGAGCTGTGAGTAACAGAGACTGGGTTTGGTGTAAAGTGCTCTGAATAGTGAATACATATGTGACAGTAGGTTATAAAGCAGAACGTAAATGCTGGATGAAGCTCAAGTCCTCGAATACTACACTGCATTCTATACTGTACTATTTTCTTAAAATAGTTACAGTAGGCATTATTATTTCCAATACACAAAAGGTTCTTCACACTAAAAATTGTTCAGTGTTCACTCTCACTGAGCAGTGTTTAGGTTTATTGAGCCACATACGCCACCTAGTGGTTATCAGAGGAATGGCAGGGTAGTTTTAACCATTCAGAAAGGAAGAGCCAGTGGTATACAATGCAACAATAGTTTATAACATAACTTGTTTGTGTGGTATCAGGTACAGCCAGAGCTTTGAAGAGCTGTTAGAATACGAGACAAGAAGTCCAGAAGATCCCCACACCCTTAATGAGTGAGTCCTTTGCAAACACTCTCCTGTTTTGCCTAAAGGTGTCTGTATTAAATATGAATTTGTAGTAAAAATGCTTGTTTAGCTCTATTAATTTGACCAAATTACAGCAGTTTAGCATAATGGATCAAACCTGTTTATGGGTGTGGTCACACTTGGCATGTTTGTTCGATTGAAATGAACTCTCGTGCGATTGCTCTGTTAGTGCGGTTCATTTAAATAAGTGTGAAAGCAGCCATCCGAACAAATGGACTGAAAACAACCGCTTTCAAATTAATTCTGGTGCAGTACGACTGAATATGAACGCAAATGACCCAAAGCAAGATGTGATGTCTTATCTCGCCATGAGAGCTATGCGTTTTGACTTCTTTACATACTTTATAAGCTCTTTGTAAGTTCTCAGCTGGTAAAAACTACTCACATACAACAACAAGCACTTTTAGCTCAGCACACTTAGCATTGTTATGGATTTTCAGTGAGTTCTGTCACAAAATACGTCATAAAAGTCCCTTTTTAAGTGAACCAGGAATGATTGTATCAGTTTCTTAAAAAACTGCAAGTAAGATGTCTTAATAACGGATGTCTTCCACTATAAATAACTTATTATTGTGGGCTTCAGCTTCCTAGAGATCCTGATTAAGATTCGTAACAGGCACAACGACGTGGTGCCCACCATGGCCCAGGGTGTCATCGAACATAAAGAGAAGTTTGGTTTCGACCCCTTCATCAGCAGCAATGTGCAGTACTTCCTTGACCGCTTCTACACCAATCGCATCTCTTTCCGCATGCTCATCAACCAGCACAGTGAGTGACGTCACATTCATGTTGGATAAATGTTAAATGATAAACCGATTAGGAGTGTGGCAATAAGCAGCTCTTTTATTCTGTTTCAGCTCTTCTGTTTGGCGATGCCACTTTTCTTGGACAACCAAAACACATCGGAAGCATCGACCCAGCCTGCAATGTTGCTGAAGTGGTGAGAGGTAAGTTAAAAGATGCTTAAAATGCACAGATCCATAACATAAACCATTTTGAAGAGTCTGATATCTGCTTCCAGATGCATATGAGACAGCAAAGATGCTTTGTGAGCAGTACTACAAGATGGCACCTGAACTAAAGATCGGGGAATTCAACTGTGAGAATGTGATCTCTCTTATTGTCTTAATAACATATATCAAAATCATAGTTCTTGTTTTTTATCTGTCTGTGCCTTCTTGTCTTATCTCACTCTATCTGCTAGCCAAAACTCCAAAGAAGCCTATACAGGTGGTCTATGTGCCCTCTCATCTTTTCCACATGCTGTTTGAGCTCTTCAAGGCAAGAGAAATAGACAGTCATTTGAAAAGAGAAGGGAAACTGGGTGACACTTTACAGTAAGGTTCAATTCGTTAACATTAGTTTATTCATTAGGTGCAAACAATGAAGAAATTGCTCATTTATAATATACTATTATTCATTTGTGTTCAGTCATAATATATGCAACAAAATAGCTCTATGAAATATTGATAATCAATAATAACTTGTTACGATTAATTCGGGTCAGTTAATTGGATTAACTTGATGTGGCTAAATTAATATCACAATCAATTAATCAGTTCATCCAACGAACTCTTTCAGTTATTCATTTATTCTTAGAAACGGGTATCTTCCATTGTTCCGCTATTGTATTTATACTGCAGCAAAAGCAAGCTCTTTATGTAGTTTCTGTGAGAACACAGCCACTAAGCATCGTGGGTATAAAAAAAACAACAAGTTAAAGTGAAATAGGCCTTGCACATGTATACACATTCAACCATATTTTTCTGTCACGCTCTGTCTAGTCATCTATTCATTTTTACATATACAAATAGCAAGGATTATAGAGCTAACATAGTGCGCTTTTTTAATTACGCTGTACAAAAATATTGTTGGTTTAACTTAAAAAATTCAGTAACCTGGTTGCCTTAAAAATTTAAGTTGATTGAACTGGAAAAAGTGAGTTAATACAATGAAGGAGATTGATTTAATCATTAGAAACTCTAAATAATAAGTTATCTAAACTAAATCAATTATTTAAGTTGATTTGACAAAAGAAAAAATGTTGTGATAACAAATCTTGAAAATATATTTTTTTTACACTGTAGGTAAGTTTTAACCATATTGGCTCAGGCACAAATCGCATAGGCCATTAAGTCTTAGTTTTATTAATTTCTTAATTTCTTATTTTACTGGTATGCATGCGCTGGTATATATATGTAGCTAACACGATCATTAGATAATTGTACAATAACTACAATATAACTCATGTTATGTATTTTAATTAAAAGAAAATTATTTTTTTAAAAATGCATTACTGTAGAAATCTGTATTGTAAAAAAAAATCTATATGTAGAAATTAACATTAACCTAGATTAATAATTAAATGTCATGCTTTAAATAATGTTAACAAAATGAACCTTACATTGAAGTGTCTCGAAAAAGTTGCTTATATCTTTAAGTGACGTTTTAAGTGGAATTAAATCAAATGATCACGCTTTTGTAAGCCATTTCATTCATTTTAATTTGATATATGTTTTGAGTGAGTCATTATATTATGTATGTCTGTGCAGAATTCCATGCGGGCAACGGTAGAGCTCTATGAAAACAACGGTGAGGGTCTTTCTCCAGTGAAAGCAATGGTAACTCTGGGAAAAGAAGACCTCTCCATAAAGGTTCAACACATGCCTATTTCACAAAAACATGATTGTTTATGGAGACTTGCTTAAATCTCATAACACGTGCCCTTTATTAATTTGACGCTTATGTGTCGGTCTTCTAAGATTAGTGATAAAGGTGGGGGTGTCCCTTTACGAAAGATTGATCGTCTCTTCAATTATATGTATTCCACTGCCCCAACACCACGTCTGGACTCCTCTCAAGCTGCTGTCCCGCTGGTAAATACCCACCACACAGCTTACGTCTGTGTTTACATGTACAGTATGTGTGGTTTCAAGCAACCTGAATTGTCATACATTGTCTCTGCAGGCTGGATTTGGCTATGGGCTGCCAATCTCTAGACTTTATGCACGCTACTTTCAGGGAGACTTGAACTTGTACTCGATTGAAGGGTTCGGGACAGATGCAGTAATTCATCTGAAGGTAATTGGACACTTGGATTACAGTGAGTACAAATATTAGCTTCGACTAGAAAGCCGCCACCTCTCTCCACTCTATGCAGGCTCTTTCGAGTGAATCTTTTGAGCGTCTTCCAGTCTTCAATAAGTCAGCATGGCGACATTACCAGACAGGTCCTGAGGCTGATGACTGGAGTAACCCGAGCCGTGACCCACGAGATGCATCCACATATAAAGCCAAAAAATGACTTTGGCCAAGCTATACTGAACACTGCCAGATAAGGAAATTTGATTCTAGGCCTTTTTAGTACTTGCTTACTAACTGTCTGAAAGTAATACATTAAGTCGTGACGTAAGGAATGCTATTTCCAGGTGCAAGCCTCGTTTCACTTGAGAATACCATCTCAACAGCCATTTATAGCCTATTTATTCACATTACACATTTAAGATGAGCATTAGTGTACACACTACAGTCTCTGTGTAGTCTCACGGCATCCCGGGCATAAATATTTTAACAATTTATAAAAGCTGAATCACTGTCTGGCCTTCTGGGATTTCGGTATGGAGGTAATGGTTAGGATCATGATTTTTTGGTATTACAACGCGCTGTGAGTGTATATTAGCAGTGTTTGAGTGCTTGGACCCGGAAGCGGTGACGTGTGACAAGCACAACATTCGTTTCTTCAGGTATCTAGGGCCTCATTTATAAAATGATGCGTAGAAACCATCCTTAGAAAAAAACTTGCGCCTCTCTTTGAAGTGAAATTTCTAAATTGCAATTGTGTACAGCATAATGGTTTCAGACTTACGCCTTGTAAATGCAGCCCAATTAATGTAATTTATTATTGTCATAATAACTAGTAAAGAGCAGCAGTCAACATCAAAATCCTTACTTTAAAATTGCTTTCGACAAGAATTGTTTAGATTTTCAAATACTTACAGTACATACAAAAACTGTATATGAACGTTGGCCTGGATTTTAGCATAGAGGGTCTTCAAATCTGTGTGTACGCACGTTTTATAAACTAGGACCATGGTCTTTTCAATAATTTCCTCAAAACATTGCCATTAAAACATTTTTAGACATTTTTCATGGAACGTTTTTTCCCTGAAGCGTTTTATGTGAATGTTCACCTAAACTTTTTTTTTTTTAAATGTCACTACTTGTTTCAGAAAGTTCAGCGAACATTCAAAAGTAACAATCCCATAATGTTTACAAAATGAAATGTTCACATAACCAAGGAAAAAGGTTTTAAAACATTTAAAAAACTGGACGTTTTGAACATTCAGAATGTTGTTAGTTGGGATAGTGTTTAATAAAATACATAATTCATAAATATGTTAACCATAAAGTTTTACTAATCACTCTACTTCTGTGAGAATAGTGACATCTACATCACAATGGCACAATTATCCTTATACGATTATTTTTTTCAGCTGATGAATGCTAAAAACATTGACAGCAGTCAACATCAAAATCCTTACTTTAAAATTGCTTTCGACAAGAATTGTTTAGATTTTCAAATACTTACAGTACATACAAAAACTGTATATGAACGTTGGCCTGGATTTTAGCATAGACGGTCTTCAAATCTGTGTGTACGCACGTTTTATAAACTAGGACCATGGTCTTTTCAATAATTTCCTCAAAACATTGCCATTAAAACATTTTTAGACATTTTTCATGGAACGTTTTTTCCCTGAAGCGTTTTATGTCAATCCCATAGTGTTTAAAAAATGAAATGTTCACATAACTAAGGAAAAAGGTTTTAAAACATTTAAAAAACTGGACGTTTTGAACATTCAGAAAACATTAGCAAAAAATTCCATCTTGTTAGTTGGGATAGTGTTTAATAAAATACATAATTCATAAATATGTTAACCATAAAGTTTTACTAATCACTCTACTTCTGTGAGAATAGTGACATCTACATCACAATGGCACAATTATCCTTATACGATTGTTTTTTCAGCTGATGAATGCTAAAAACATTGACAGACAATTAGAATCTACCCAACTTTAAAGAGCTTAAGCATTTAAAGCAGAAGATGCAGATGATAACTATGGCAGACGGTCCCTTGGTGTGGATGCTAATATAGTTATAGTTATTCTAAACTTTCTTGGGGTGAACAGGCCTTAACTTGACAGACAAGTTATGAAGTGCTCAGATCTGTGTTTAAATGGTATTACAAATCATTCCATTTAATTATTATTTTATATATATATATATATAGAATTATGAGGTCAGTCCAGACCTTTGAGCAGCATGCCATTGTAGATCTCAATTATGAAACATTTTGGTGCATGAAATACAGTAAATAGAATGAGAAGGTGCCTGCTTAGATGTGCAGGAGGTAGAGCCAGCATCCATCTACATTCTCCTCCTTGCCACCCCCACTAATGCTGACTGAGGCTCCTTTGGGTGGCGGTGAATGGAAACGGTTGCCATTGGGTGACGGGCGATGTAGACCGTCTTCTGGTGGGACTGGAGCTGGGCGACGTACTTGGAGACTGATAGGGAGACAGAGCCTGGAGAACACGGCCACTCCGCTCCTGGATCATGTGCTACAGAGAACACAATAAAGCAATTTAAAAAATGGTAAATAACTCTGCACATATAGTAATGCCTGAGTTTTGTTAATGTTAATTGTAATGGTAGTTGCGTTGCTGTCAATTGAGGTCTCAAAAAGTCTTCACTTGTGTTACAAAGATGAACAAAAGTATTACAGGTTTGGAACGACATGAAGGCGAGTAATCATTGACAGAATTTCCCACCCAGAATTTTTGTTTATTTTTCAGAATATTATGCCATATTCCTTCTCAAGTATATGTATCTTGATTTAAAGGGATACTCCACTTTTTTTGGAAATAGGCTCATTTTACCACTCCCCCAGAGTTAAACAGTTGAGTTTTACCGTTTTCGAATCAATTCAGCCGATTTTCTGATATTTAGAAGAATATCAGTAACAGGACAGTTTCTGGTCTCATTGACTTCCATAGTAGGAAAAAAATATACTATGGAAGTCAATGAGATCAGAAACTGTCTGTATACTGATATTCTTCTAAATATCAGAAAATCGGCTGAATTGATTAGAAAACGGTAAAACCCAACTGTTTAACTCTGGGGGAGTTGTAAAATGAGCCTATTTCCAAAAAAAGTGGAATATCCCTTTAAAAATTTTTAGATATTTGTACTGGAAAACAAGACAAAAGTACTTGATAAGGAATTCTTTTGCCGTGTACAAAATTCCCATTTCTTTGTAATCGTTTGTGAAATTTACTAGCGATTTCTGAGAGAAATTTGTTTCTACAGCACTTTTTTTTGTTTGTTTCAGTGTTACCCAGGCTTTATCTGGGCCGAACAGCTCCAGGAAGTTTCCGATGAACTCGCGAGATTTCTCCTCCCATTTGTGGATGAGGTCGTGGCTCTTCTCTTCAACACGGTGCACTAAATGTTTGGACTTCTCCTCCACCGTCCTCACCGTCTCCTTCATTCTGTCCACCTGCTCTTGCAGACGATATTTCTTCTCCTGTCAATCAAAAGAGTCGGAATAGTTCACCTAAACATGTAAATATCGTACCAAATTTCTTCCGCTGAACACTGAAGGATACATTTAGCAAATTTTGAAATGGCCTGTCAACTCTTTTGCTGGCGATGTGTTTCAAAGATCACATAAAAGTAGTAAATACCACTTTTCTGTTATATTCCAAGTGTTCTGAAGCCATACAATTTCTTTCTTACATTGATGAAGCCCACGTTGAGTTCCCGTGCTGTGTATCCTCTCTGCAGGTTACGCCTGACATAGACGTCATAGTCTCGAACAATGCGCGTGATGAGATCAGAGGTGGAGATCCCCTCCGTTCTTTGAGTAGCCACAAACATTCCTTACAGATCACGTAGAAGAAGTTTATTCTTATGAGTCCTTCGACTCGGCTCTATAACTGTGCAGTTTGGTTGCTGTTAAAGTCTTTACCTGCTTCTTTAATATGTTTGTAGACATCGTCTGATCCAGCAGAGGTGTATGGGATATCGTCATGTGCCACAAAGTCAATCTGAAGGCAACAGGAAAATAAATAAATAAATAGGTATGACACCATGAACTCACATTTTCAATGATCTCTCTACACTGTAAAAAAATATTGATGGTTTAACTTAAAAAAGTAAGTAACCTGGTTGCCTTAAAATTTTAAGTTCAATAAACTGGAAAAAGTGAGTTAATACAATGAAGGAGATTAATTTAACCGTCAGAAACTCAAAAATTATATGTTATCTGAACAAAATAAATTAAGTTGATTTGACAAAAGAAAAAATGTTGTGATTACTACACTGTAAATTTTTTTTTGTTGGTTTAACTTAAAAAAAGTAAGTAACCTGGGTTGCCTTAAAATTGTAAGTTGATTGAACTGGAAAAAGTGAGTTAATACAATGAAGTAGATTAATTTAACCATCAGAAACTCAAAATAATCAGTTATCTCAACTAAATAAATTATTATAAAGTTGATTTGACAAAAGAAAAAATGTTGTGATAAAAAATCTTGAAAATATTTTTTACAGTGTATTCTTTTTGATGAACTTTGCCATGAATATGGCATAAAACAGAGCGTTCTCCCCATTTTTCAATATGGAAACTGAATGTCAAGTACATTTTTAAACGATCTGTTTTATTTATGTAATGTGCAGTTTTTGCAAACCAAAGTTTTGGACTGAACGCAGTTTAAAATCTTGTCTAAATAGTTAAAAAAAAGGTGATTTTGCAAATGTCAAGCAAAAACATTAATTAAGATGGAATAGAATATATAAAAATGCGTGAACGTTTTAAAATTTTATTTTAGCTAGCTGTCAAGGCAGTATTTCTCATTTTCATTTAGTTTAAGTTGAGACAAACTAAATAAACAAAAAAAAAAACCTAATAAAAATGACAAAAAATGCAATAGTAAATTTAATTAACTACTAAAATAGCACTGGTAACAGGGTTGCAAAAGCAGTCTAAATTAAGGTGTCACTCAGTAGCTGTCAGGCTTTTTTAAGCGAATGATCACAAAGGAAAACAAAAGGAGTCTTTAATAGTAAATTCCTCTAAGAAGACACAGGAGAATCACAAGGAAGAAGCTCAGGAAATAGGCTTTCCAACCAGAACAATGAAACTAAACCAAAACCGAACACACGTTACATTAGCAGCTTAAATACACCGTCGAGCACCATCATAACTATGCCAAACCTATGGGTGGCAGTGTAGGGAGAAGGATAAAGCCATGCAAGCCATTGACAAGAGATAACATTAAACCATGTTTCTCCCAGTTGACACGACAACACATAACCGGCGTTTTCAGAAATCTCCACTTTGCCCGGAGTTTTTAGAAATAATCGTTTTCTGCGATTAAAAACAGGGTTTTCATGTAAACGAGAGAGGCCAAACCGCAGGGAAATATCTGCGTTTTCCCTTCTCGTAAACGGGGCCTTAATGTCTAGTGACATATCAGGGCCATTTTCTGATTATTTGAAATAAATTTCTTACACACAGCTCCTTTAAATAATTTACTTGTTCTCTCTTCCAAATTGTGTTCATTCTTGGATGTCAAGATTGTAAAGAATGTTATATGTTGATGGTGGGTTGCACCAAATAATACATTTTATGTAATAATGTTTTTACTACAGTACAGTGAACTGAATATTAATTTACCTTGTGTTTTATAAGGAACTCCGGAGTGAGGGTCCAGGGAGCATCACGGACCACCTCGTCCACATAACGACAGTGTATGAGGGCTTCATATCGCTCGTCCTCCGTCATCACCGTGTAGCCCTTATACTTGTGCGTCAGAGCATCACTGCAAACTGACAGAGATGGACACAAGGTATGGAGCAGTCATCAGACAATGAAAAAGAGACTAAAGTCGAATAAATCATTGGCTTTTCCAAAATTTGGACATGAGGCTAAATTTTTGGACAAATTGCTTACTAATTGCCACAGTGTGTTGCCATTGTAAAGACTGTTTCACTCACAGCCTCATTTGCATTAAATTCAATATGGCGTCTAACCTGATGTGTTGATGTGGTTTTGTTGCAAAACTGGGCAAGTGTGACTCACCA